GGGGGGGGGGGATGGAATCCGTTCCCAGATAGGCTCCTAAAACATCCCCCTGGGATGTCACTCCTTAGGGGCCTCAGGACGGTTGTGGTGGCCCAGAAGGCAATTCCAATCACAGGAACAGACATTGTGCTTTGAAAATTTAACCCGGGACTGAAAGAGGTCTTCCTCCTCTCAGCATCAGCAAACTATGAAATGGTTGTATATTTTAAAATGCCACTGCAAAAATAAAGGCCATTCAACACTTGGGTCACCGAAAAAAAGAAAATGCAGTGGGCAAGCTGCGAATCTAAACCACGAAGGAATTTACAGAAAAGGATAATGAGTTTTCAGACTCTCCGAAAAGGTCCATATGAAGCTGCTGTTTTCATTTTTAGTAAGATGCCTTCAATTCTCATGACACGGATGTGACAGTTGTCTTAAAATAGGGATTTTAGGATTCTCCAAAGGGGTATACTCTTTGTATCTTCACACTTAAACTCTTTGCAGCAAATCCTCCTTGCTTGCCTGGGTGAAGTGCCTAGATAAATTTACTACATTGGAATTGCCCGCAGGCTGATTAAGGTGGAGTCTGTGTGGACAGCAAAGGGAAGTCCAGAGTGCAAACAGCATTTGGCCAACTCTGATTGTGCTCATTTGTTTCTTCCCCTCAAGTTCACGGGGTGCTGAAAAGCTCTGGTCATAGACAAAGTGTATAAAAAGTTAGAAATCAAGTTCACTAATGACTCACTGTGTACGTGTCGACAGGTTACATATGTCAATTCTTAGCATCACAAATTTTGGACATTTTAAATCTTCACTGTTGGGTAACTTGGTGATATTTGGAAAAGTATGAATATTGGAAACTTTTTAGCCATATCTTCCTTTCCTTGTACTTAAAAAAAATAATATTTAAAAAAAACCAATGAGTGAGAATTAGATGGATCAGCTCTAAAAACTAAATTACCAGTATGTGTGTACATCTGTCGTGTTTTCTTAAAATAAGAACAATTTAAAAGCTTATTTAGTACATAGTTTTAAACACAGATTAAAGAAAACTAGATTGAGTGCGGATGTTTGGCTTCCCACATAAGAGGCCACACATATATCAATGGTACTTTGATGCTTAACACTAAAACCCCTGGTCAATGGCGATAGAACTGGAGATGAGGGACAACGACACTGACCCTCTCGCTGATTATGAATCGGCCCTTGGGACTGGCTTTCTTCTGGGAGTCCACTGACTGTATGAACCCGGATACCATGATGGAGAGCAGCAAAATGGACTGCATTACTGTTCGCTCTCTGACAGGCAAGGAGATCTGAAAAGGGCAGGCTACCGGAGCTTCATGGGAACACACAAGCCTCATGTTTAGAGGCTGAATCTCTTGGAACTATTCAACCTCAGGCCATTGGAAAGCAAAGAGTTAAAAAAGTCATGCATGACAGGCCAACCTAGGGAGGTGGATATTGGATACCTGTGTGAGCCTGGTGGAACCACCATAATCAAATGTGAAAACTGCAGTTTATTAATTAAAGTAAAATAACTTGAACCTTTATTTCTAAACTGTTGAATGAGAAACCCAGTGAGCAATATTCCCCAAGTCAAGTCAACCAAAAGTAAAACTCTTAAAAAAAAAAAAAATCCCAACATTTATGATTACTGTGAACCTTTATGGTGTATATTTTTAACCTTGAACAACAGCGGTTTCTTTATTACTATATTTATGAAATGATTATCAAAGTCGGTTAGTTTTCAGGGCTTCCTATTTTTCTCAGAAACACATCCTAGGGTGTAAGGAAGTTGAACTCTTGCTCTATATAATCATGCACTGAAGATGTCATTTATTTTAGTTTAAAAAGCAAAATGGAGGCAGTTCCTTCCGGTGACTAAAATGGTTTAACTTAAAGTTTAATTAACAAAAAAGCCACATTCCCATTTTCCAATTCACAAAGACAGGTTTTTCTTTAAAAATATGCCTGAAACATATTACAGATAATATCCCAAATGATTACTATGTAAACATTGTCATTACAATGAGATTAATATGATATCAGCTCCATTTCACATTGTAAACAGCAAGACTGAATGCAGAAGCCTATTTAGACTGTCCAGTGTTTGTGCAGGTTTTTAAATGAACCATACAAAATCTACATTGTTCTACCTTCTTGTCAAGAGGATCCATCTGTTTCCAATTATTGGCCTTTAACTGATGAAGTTCATCAAATTTCATACTAATATTTTCTATGGACAACTGCAGCATGTCCCAGAACCCCGCCAGATCCTGGGAAGTGGGCCTTGGATGAGCATTGGGATTCTGTACAAGAGAAAGAAAAACATTTGTGCTTTAGAGGCAATCGATGACAACAAGCACAGGACCAAAGGGGCATTTTCAAATATTTCAAATAACATAAGGGGGATGAGTTCCTTTTGGCTTTCAAATAGGAGATAAAAGTGAGGCTACAAATGGTAATTTTTCCTTTTTCTTCTTTTCTTTCTTTCTTTCTTTCTTTCTTTCTTTCTTTCTTTCTTTCTTTTCTTTCTCTTTCTTTCTTTCTTTCTTTATCATCTATTATCTATCTATCTATCTATCTATCTATCATCTATATCTATCATCTATCTATCTATAAAGATTTATTACAGAATAATTGAAACATACAATTGTAAGATATTTAAAGTGTACAACACGAAGATTTGATATATGTACACATTGTATACAGACTCCTCCCATAAAATTAATAAACACATCCATCACATCACATACTTATCTTTGTGTGTGTGTGTGTGAGAACATTTAAGTTCTACTCTTAGCAAATTTCAGTTATACAATACACTGTTATCAGCTATAGTCACCATGTTGTACATTAAATTCTCAGACCTTATTCATCTTATAACCAAAAGTTGGTACCCTTTCAACCAATGTCTTCCCTTTCCCCCACCCCCCAAGCCCCTGGCAACCACTTTTCTCCTCTTTCTTTCTATGGGTTTGACTCTTCTTAAAAGATTTCATTTCAAATGGTAATTTTATACACTCATCTGAGTCAGTGATTCTCAAATGTCAAGGTTGTAAAACTCTTCTTTTGTAATACAACATCTATCAATGTGGTATGAGGAGAGAATCCAAACTTTTCAAAAAACTATGACAAGATGCATTAAAACATATTTAAATGAAGACACTATCTTCCGCGGGGGTGGGGGGGTGGGGGGGTGGGGGTGGGGAGGATAGTGGAGTTGGAATCTGACTTCATGTCATCCAACTTATTCAGAGAACAGATAAGAAATCTAAAATAAGACTTGTTTTAACAGTCATGTTGAGGGAAACGATAGGGTAAACAAATGATGAGTAAGAAAATAATTGCATTTTTAATATTTTGTAATGTTTATTTTATTTTTGAGAGCAAGTGCAAGTGGGGGAGGGGCATAGAGAGAGGGGGACAGAGGATCTGAAGCAACTCTGTGCTGACAGCAAAGAGCCTGATGCAGGGCTCGAACTCACGAGCCTCGAGATCTTGACCTGAGCTGAAGTTGAATGCTTAACCTACTGAGCCACCTAGGTGCCCCCCAAATAACTGCACTTTTAATGTACCATGTGTTTAACAATTAAGATATTACTAATATAGGAAGTCATTTTATCATACAAGGACTTTTTTTTTTTTTTAATGTTTATTTATTTTTGAGACAATGCGAGAGACAGAATGCAAGCAGCAGAGGGGCAGACAGAGGGAGACACAGAATCTGAAGCCAGCTCCAGGCTCTGGGCTGTCAGCCCAGAGCCGGATGTGGGGCTCGAACTCACAAACCGTGAGATCATGACCTGAGCCGAAGTCGGATGCCTAACTGACTGAGCCACTCAGGCGCTCACAAGGACTTTTACTAAATCTTTGCGAAATGAATTGGTTTTAAATCAACCATAACATAAAATAGCAAATGTGAGAACACATATCTATACATTACACATAGATGTCTGTAATGACCCACTTTCTAGATAATATTAAACAGTCTTCAGTGTTTAAGGATTGACATTTTTTTTTTTGCCCCATCCCTATATCCCTGACAGGTACTAGAAAGTATGAACCATGAATTTATATGATGTAAAACAGAAAAAACATAACTAGGAGACTGAAGGTGTCATGTCCAATGTTAATCACTACTGCCAATGGTAGCTAAAGGGATTCATGGTTATGGGGGTGGGAGCTTCCAGATGTCAGAGGCTTACATCTGGGTCAGTTTGGGTTACCTGTGGGTATTAAAGCCAATTGGATATACTGTGAAACCTCATGCCATATAATAACCTGAGGCCATTTTGTACTTTTTTTTTTAATGTTTTATTTATTTTTTGAGAGAATGTGAGTGGGGGAGGGGCACAGAGAGGGGGACAGAGAGGATCCAAAGTGGTCTCTGGGCCCGACAGCAGAGAGCTGGATGTGGGGCTCAAGCTCACGAATTGTGAGATCATGACCTGAGCCGAAGTCAGAAACTCAACCGGGTGAGCCATCCAGGTGCCCCCATTTTGTACTTTAAAAACCAACTTTCAGGAGCACCTGGTGGGTCAGTCTGTTGAGCATCTGACTTTGGCTCAGGTCATGATCTCACAGTTCATGAGCTCAAGTCCCACATCAGGCTCTGTGCTGAGAGCTCAGAGCCTGGAGCCTGCTTCAGATTCTGTCCTCTTTCTCTGCACCTCCCCTGCTTGTGCTCTCTCTCAAATATAAATAAATAAACTTAGAAAAAAAAAAAACTTTCAGGAAGTGCAAGGGCAGTGCTCATCAAAGTTAATAGGTTGGAAAAGTTAATAGGTTGGAAAGAACTTCTTAGCCCTTTGACGGACTAGCATTATTGGTCTGCCTTCAAAATAAATACAAGTTAAAATGTATTTATAAACTTATACTTCTAAAACTGTCCATAGTTCTAGAATTCACTGAAGATGTAAATTCTAAAGTTTGTCAGTATTTGGTTCAGTATTAAACCCTAGTCTAGTGACACCTGAATTAAAGAGTTTCTCTGCAGCATTTTCATTTAGTAAGTTAAAAAATTTTCTTAACATCTAGGTTCAGAACAGACAGATAATAGCTTTAACAAAGTACATTGCAAATGGAGTTTTATGGTCTTCCTCATCTCACTGGTAACTAAGAACCAAATTGCTCATATTTTGGAGTTGACTACAGTCTCTTAGGTCACAAGCCTATCGGCTAAATTGGTTCAGTGCAGCAGTGATGAAATGATTGTTTGGTAGGCCCAAAGAGTTTGTTTAATTCTGTATGATGGGCGATTTGGTCCCTCCTCACCAAGAATCACTGCCCCTGTGTCGTCAGGGGGACAGATGGGGAAGCAGACAGAAAGAGAAACTGTGGGTCATGTGACATCCCGTGCACAGAGAGTTGCAGCCCTCGCCTTAGTCTGAACCAGGCCACTTGGAGGTTAGAGGTGATGGAGGGTGTGGAGGGATGAGGGGGGGCTGGGTTCCTGAGTTTAGTTTTGTTGGAAAAAGTAATGCTCATCCATTTACTCTATGCCTGAAAGTCAAGTCTGGGATAATATTCAGGTGTTTTCAAGTGTTCTCCTCCTCAGAGTAAGAACTCAAGAAAGGAGAGCTGGGTCTGGTTGTGCCCAATCTTAGGGACGCTTTTGTGCAGCTTTATAGACCTAAGAAATGCCACCACCAGGCCACCACGCTTCCTGCTGCAGAGAAGGTGGGGCTGACTGATCTGCCCATGTCCCTCTAGGAGGGTGTGGACTAGAACTCAAATCTTTGGGGCTGGTGGTGGGGATGTCAAACAGGCACTGAGGTCAGATAGACTGGGATTTGAATCTTGGGCTCTGCCTCTTACCAGCTGACCCTGGCCAAGTTACTGATTGATTGATTTTTAGTTTTTGTTTTTCATTCCTGACCAAGTTATTTAGCTTTTCCATGCCAATTTTCCTCAACTGTAAAGTTGTCATAAAAATAATGTCACTATCTGCTCCATAGGGTCACTCTGAGGATTTAACCAGATCATTTATCCTAAAGCTCTTGCCATGGCTTCTGGCACATACTGGGCTTTGAACCTTCCCTTCTGAGGCACGGTTTGACCAGCCATCCATGGTCCTCCACCCGCGGCGCAGTCCCATTCCTGCCTCTAACGTGCTGCCCACATTTCCAACTAAGTTCCTCTCGCTGCTCAGGCACATGAGCCTATCAGGAACCAGGAAACGTCAAAAGCTGGCTTTAACAAACCTTTCCTAGAAGTCTGCGAAATTTTCAAAATGTTTTGTCTGCAATTTCATCATCAAAACTTTGCACAGTTTTTGTGTTCTACTTCATAACATACCTGCTTATTATATAATTCTGTGAAAAAGTGTGCTGTTTGCCCTATAGGGCGTACATATTGGCTTCCATGTATCTTTTAGGCAGTTTGAGAAATACAGCTTTCTATGAACTTTCATACATTTGAAGAGCACAGGACCATGTTAATGAGGATCTGTGACACATTAGCAAGTTTACAAATTAGCAGGAATTCTGTTCGTGGCACTGAGTGAAGCTCAGTAAAATATTTGTCGAATTCACTTATCAATACATTTACTAACCTATGTTATCCCATAATCCAGAACAGAATTTCTGGGAAGGTGGAAGGATTTTTGCTGAGGGAGAGGAAAACAAACTACAGATGTGGGGGGCGGATGTGAGGAGGAGGTGAAGGACAGCCCCAAAGGGGGGTTTCAGAAAGAAAAGTCTGGTGAAGAGGGACCGAGAACACCAACTTTTGCAGGCTTTCCATTTTCTCTTGATTGAACCCTGTCTTGATAAATCCCCTCCAGTCTATATTCGTCCTTGTTAACAAGATGTGGTTAAAACTCTAAAATCATAGTCAATGAGATTGCAAATAATCATGTTTTTACTTTCCACAAGATGAACAAGTGGCTTTTCATTTTATTTTAGAGCAAGCGTGACCAACAACTGACCAATAAAAGCTATTGTGGAAGGACACTTGCAGAGAATAGTAGCAGTTTCTTTAAAAAGACATACGTGAGGAAGCTCTTGCCTTTGTCTTTTGTAGTCCCTTTAAAAAAAATGTTGTTGATGCTAGTGGTGTTTCTGTCTCTTCATTTTACTTTATTTGGTTTTTGTATGTCCAGCAAGGATGAATTACTCATTTGCCTCAAGGAGATCACTTTGTGATGCCATCCACCTCTGGCCTTAAATTAAAATCAAGAACCCTGATGATGAGATAGGAACTGATGGCTATTTCAGAAGGAACATCATTATCCAAAATGGTTTTCGGTAATATCATTTTTGAAATATCAGGCTGCTCCATACTTTGGTAAGAATACTGAAATCAGGGCTGCCCTGGGAAAGCCAGGAAATTGGAAACATTTCAGTTACCAAAAAAAAAAAAAAAAAAAAAAAAAAAAAAAAAAAAAAAAGGCAGGAAATGGAGTTTTAACTTGATTGGATTTTTTCTTTTAAGATTATTTAAGTATAAAATAAATATTTCTAATTTTTTTTAATTAAAAAAATTTTTTTAACACTTATTTGTTGTTGACAGACAGAGAGTGAGCGGGGGAGGGGCGGAGAGAGAAGGAAACACAGAATTTGAAGCAGGCTCCAGGCTCTGAACCATCAGCACAGAGCCCAATGTGGGGCTCGAACCCACAAACCATGAGATCATGACCTGAGCTGAAGTAAGATGCTCAACCGACTGAGCCACCCAGGCGCCCCTAAATACTTCTAATTTTAAGAAAAGCAGGAAATTAGATTCCTCAGAAAATTCTATTTCAGGCGAGAGAGTGTTCAAAATTAGTTGTGGCAGCCTTGACAACATGATCTTCTCCTGACTAGCTGGGAAGTGGTAGTGATGGGGAATGTTACCTACCAGGTTTTCTTCACACAGTTCTCTGAACTGGTAGAATTTCTGGGCCATGAGAAGTTGGGCACTGCCCACTGCAGTTCGGATTTTCCCTAGAACTGAAAAAAGCAAACATACAAGAAGTTTACACATTATGTCTCACTGTGGAGATTTAGTCTGGTAAAGCAAAGAGGAAGTTATGCTGCAATAATTAGGAAAAACTGCACACATACAGCACGTGAACACACACACACACACACACACACACACACACACACACACTCAGCCCAGCTGCTGTTGGGCTGCTAGTCTATGGAACAGAGGCTAGGTGAAAGTATAAAATCGACTTGGACAAAAACACATGCTCATCACACATATTTCTTAGGAATAACGGAGTTTTCCATCACAGCACTGGAGCTTACCAAGAGGCAAATAGGTTTTTCTTCCCTCCTGCCTTTTATTGCAAGGATAAGTTTCAAGTGTTTTTCAGTATAGTTATGGATTTATTTGTGTCAGCAATCATGGTCTGCGAGCTCGTTTTTCTAATCCAACTCCAAACACAAGAAAAGCAATCCTGACTTGAAGGGGCGCTCTCTTGGCACTCACCATCTCCTATCCATAACCTTCATTATTTTTCCGGAGCTCAGCCACGGGGACTGTCAGGAAAGCGCCATGGCCAGTTGAAAGATTTTCTAAGGAATGAACATTTTCAGCCTGTTGCCTAGGGAACGCCAGCACCGTTCCAGCTTTTCCACTCCACAGACCAATTTTATTGTTAATATAGGTTTAATTCCCTATGCACTGTGCTGAAAATCTCCTTTGCAAGCTACTTCTTGTCTTCCGTGCAGACTAAGGCGAGAACCTTTCAACTGAGGGCATGCTGAGACGGGCAGAACTGCTCTGCACAGAGCTGTCCTGAGGTCTGCATTGTCCCAAGGCCCTCCCTCCACCCGGTGGGGACTGGGGGCACAGCTGCACTGCTGGAGCTCTGCCACCAGGCAGTTCTCAACATGCCCTCCCTGTCGGGGAGGAAGGGGAGAAGGCGCCCTGCTCCCCCTTCCTGGCCCCCCGCATAGACAGGGAGACTCCTCAGAAGGGCACTTGCTCCGTGGTGAAATCTGCATCTCTGCGGGGAGGTGGAGTAAAGGATCGAAGCAGTGTGAGTGCCGCGGTTTTGCTGTGGATTTACAAAGCCTGAGACCCAGAGTGGAATGAGGTCTCTCTTTCTTGACCTCAGTCCCCACAAGGTCTGACAAGAGGACAAAAGAAAAAAAAAAAACTTTATTGTGACAGGGTTTTCTAGTAACTTTCTTCTCTGTTTAAAACTTCCAGGCTAGGGGCACCTGGGTGGGTCAGTCAGTTGAGCATGTGACTTCCACAAGGTCATGATCTCAAGGTTCCTGAATTTGAGCCCTGCATCAGGTTCTGTGGCGACAGTATGGAGACTGCTTGGGATTCTCTCTTCTCCTCTCTGCCCCTCCCCTGTTCGCACTCTCTCTCCAAATATTAAAACCAAACCAAATCAAACAAAAACCTGCCAGGCTAGACCATGGTTTATGATGCACACTATACTTAAGTATTATTCAAATATTCTGGCATTCCCACACACGGAACTCAGGGCATTTATGAACTCTCTGTCACCAGTCCCACCGAACAGCCCAGGTGCAGAAATCGCCTCCTCAGTGACAGCCAGGGGCTCCCCTTGATGGCCATAAGGCAGCAATTCCTCAGGCCTAAGTGTTTACTCTTTTCCAGTCTTGCTTATGTGAGGCCCTTCTCCTTTTCTCCACACCCCTGAAGCAGAAAGGAAGAAGCATGTGGAGACACAGAGCATCATAGTTGCTAAGGGTCCGGCCCTGAGCTGGCTGAGGGTTTTGGCCCCAATACTTACCAACCCCTGCCCTGGACAGGTCATTCAATCTCTGTTCTCTCCTATGTAAAGTAAGGTTAATGGTATCTATTTGTAGGGTTGCTGTGAAGGTTAAAAGCAATAATACACAGGAAATGCTTGGGACAGTGTCTGATATGTAGCAAACAACCAATAAGTGTTTGTTATCACCTAGGGCCAGGATACTACCATTCCTCTCTGGTTATGCCACCTGTGGGTCCCACACTTGCTCTGCCCAGAAGAGAAGAGGAAAAAAACAAAGTCTGGATTATTCAAAGGTAATCAGACATCCTTGGTTGCCTGGGACAGGTATGTGCTTTGGATCACCTGTCCCAGATCTGAGACAGTTCTGAGGAGGCATTTCCTAAGTGAACATGTGGCTTAGGCAAACTCTAAGGTCCCTGGAAACATCTCTGAATTATGTTGCTGATGGGTACGGCTGTGACACCAGCAAATCCTTAGAATGAATCCTGGAAGCTTAGAACTTGTACTGAGGGGTGTCCAATTTGTTGGCTTGTATGGCAGAGCCCCTGGGAACTGTCATAGAACCCCCAGCTATTCTGATATGCCTCAAAACTTTGAGCTAATGTTTCTCCATTACACCTGAAAACCTGAGTGTATAATAGATTACTATAGTGAGAGCAGCTGAGTAAGACAGTGATTCTCAGATGAGAAGAAAGCACTGCTCCAAACAATCTTTCAGGCAACACCCACCCACGTAGGTGCCAACTCAGATGGATGTCTTCTTGAAAGCAGAACAAGGGACATCTTCAGCATGGTCTGGCGAGAGCTGTAGATTTGGAGCAAAAGTAACCGGGATGAAGTTGTGGCCCTTCTGTTTTCCAGCTTTTTGCCATCATGTTCCTTGAGTGGAAATTCCCTACTGGCTCCGGGATTGTTTGCATTTCCAGTGTCTGAGTGATAATCTTTCCTGGGCCCAGGAAAAGGAGGTGCTGATGTGGGCTTTGGGAGAAGCCATTCAACAGGAGGGCTTGGGTCAAGCAGATGAAATTCCTATTTCCTTGCCCTCCACGCTTTTGTTTCTAGAGAACTAAAAACTCACTTTAATTTCTTTTTTTTTAAAGTTTAACTACTTTGAGAGAGTGACTGGGGAGGGGCAGAGAGAGAGAGAGAGAGAGAGAATCCCAAGCAGGCTCCACACTGCCACCATGGAGCCCGAAGTGCAGCTCGAACTCACAAACTGCATGATCATGACCTGAGCTGAAATCCACATTGAGACGCTCAGCTGACTAAGTCACCCAGGCATCCCAAAACTCACTTTAATTTTGAAGAAAAAAGCTCTAATGGAGTTTGTTCTGTTTTTCCATTAGACATTCACTTAGTGTGGAGATAACTTTCTTCTTCTAAAGGTAAATTTCATATTTGTTCTGTAGTCTTTGAGGAAGAAAAAAGCTAATGAAGCAAATGTGCTCCTGGGATTGCATTTAGTTGGCTCCCTTCACACTCTGGCCCATACACCTTTTCCAGATTGTTCAACACAGATGTAGTCAATAGTTTTTATTACCCATCACCCTTCACTGAATGCATCTTCCAGAATAATGCGTCTCTACTGTATTCCTGCAGGCATGCCACTTAATGAAGATTTATACCATCTATTTGTATTCTGTATATATATATACATACATATATATATTTAATGTTTATTTATTTTTGAGAGAGAGAGAGAGAGAGAGCAAGCAGGGAGGGGAGAGAGAGAGAGGGAGACAGAATCCGAAGCAGGCTGCAGGCTCTGAGTTTTCCACGTAGAGCCTGATGCAGGGCTCAAACTCACAAACCATGAGATTGTGACCTGAGCCGAAGTTGGATGTTTAACCGACTAAGCTACCCAGGTGCCCCTGTGTAATATTTAATCATATTATGGGCCCTGTTTTGCGGTGCTACTCTTTTTATGTGGGTAAGTCTGGTCTCCCTAGGTGTCTTGTAAAACCCCTGGTAATTAGTTTTTAAGATTCCTTTCTCCCTTTCCTTTCCTCCCCAGCTGTTAGTCTGTTCCTCAGTGGAAGTGAAAAATAACAACCCAAAACACTGGTGAACTAAATTCCTTCCATTTCAGAGGTGGGCACCTCCATACTAACTCCCCCACTCATAATCTAGAAACTTCTCATCCTGCAGTAGATGGTTATGGGGAATCATAACAGAGAGCACAGGCCTGGGTTAGTTCATCACATAAAGCCAGGAAGATCTTTTGGTAAGTTATCACTGTTTGGTTTTTGCACAGATCTGTTTATTTATATTATTATCTTGTATTTATCTCTTTTTAAAGTTTATTTATTTTGAGAAAGAGAGAAAGCACTAGCAGGGAAGGGACAGACAGAGAGGGGGAGAGAGAAAATCCTAAGCATGCTTCATGCTCAGCGCAGAGCCCAATGTGGGGCTCGAACCCACGACAGCAAGACCACAACCTGAGCCGCTATCAAGAGTCAGAAACTTAACCGAATGAACCACCCAGGCGTCCCTATCACCTTGTATTTCAAAGCACTTTCACACGTGCATCAAACCGGATCCTTTCAGGACCCTGTGAGACAGGGCAGATATCATCATTTCATTTGAGAAAATTTGGGCTCAAATTATGAAGAGCCTTCCCCGGCGGCCCTATAGTGCCTGGGACTCTGTCTTCTCCCTCCCCATCCCTTGTGCTGTGTTGAAAACTGGGTCTGAATCTACTTAAATGAAGCCATGTGAGGGTGATTTCTTTCCTTTATCAACACTTTCTAGCTAGGACCACTGGACGGGGTGGGGGGCTGTAGTTAGCTGATAGAAGAATCTGAGGCAGTTCAGCAAACTCGATCCCTGCCCACACTGAGATGGGAGAGCAAAGCACATGTACACGAATTGTTGCACAAAGACATTTCAGCTGTGAAAAGAATGGAGGAACTGGGATCACTTGAAAGGGATGCTAGTGGGCGTAAGGTTGAAGTCTGGGTTTTCCTTTTAAAGATGATACATCAGAATAAGAAGCAGAGAAAGACTATTTTGGGTGTGAGATGGGTCTCTTATGAGAACTCTAATTTTAAATCTAGCTATATGCAAACAAAAGCCCAGACGTTAGGGAAGAGCACACCTCCTTCCTCCCACTGACCCCCATGGGGGATGATTTTTATTTGGGAATAAGGAGGTGATATACAAGGCACAGGGCTGAAGAGGATGACAATTTACTTTTTTAATTTAATTTTTAAAGTAATTTCTACACCCAACGCGGGGCTCGAACTC